GATATTCCACAATCCCATGAAAGAAAAAGAGAATGGGAAGAGGCCGAAATAGGCATTGGCTGCACCTTTTCCCCATAATTCACCCAATTTCAGCCAAGTTCTCAGCGTTACAGGTTGGTTCTTGCCTGGGTCTCTCTGCAGCTACAGCCTCCTCAGGGGATGCTTTGTGTGGGCGTGGCTGGGGCGTCTCTCCACTGCTGGGACCACCTGTTGTGGAGGAAAGACCACCCAAGGCAGGGGCAGGGAGAGAGGGGTGCTGAGGGGCTGGGAAGGGCACGAGCTGTGTGTGAGTCCTGGACAGAACGGATGGGAGAGACTCCAACAGGTCCTGGCAGCCCTTGGTGCTGGGGACATCGGTGGCTGAAGCAGCTGGGTCAGTGCCAGAGGTGCCAGCTCAGCCTGAGCTGTGAATGCATCACCCTTCCTGTGCTGAGGGCTGCACTGGTGTCTGAAGCCTCCAGAGCTCCTGTGGAAGAGCAGGAGCGCAGCCCGTGGATGCTGTATCCATGACAAGAGCTCCTTCAGCCACCCTCAGCCCACGGACAGCAATTAGAAGTGGCCATCCCAGTGCTGAGGGTGGGAATGGGGCTGGAGCACTGGGCTGGGCTTGAGGAGTGTAGGACTGAGTCCCTCTCGAGGTGACCCCAAGAGTGTAAAAGTCCTTGTTCCCAGCCTGCGCAGCCAAAGAAGGAGTCTGGATGTGCAGGATCAGCTTCTCAAGGGTGTTTATTTTCCCTTACCTAGAACATTCTTTCTCTGACCTGCTGAGCTCTGTCCAGCAGGTCAGCCATGGCATTCTGTCTGCCCTCAGGGTGGTGTTCACATTTTATACCAAAAACTACCTGTGCCATGTTTACAGTAACGTGCCAATATCTGTCATTTAGGTTGGACAGTGTGTCTCTACCTTAAACCAATAGAAAAGTGTCACCATCACAGCAAAACATGGAGGGCAAGAAGAAGGAGAAGAAGGTCAGGTTACACCCAAATCCCTCCATCTTGTCCCCTGAAGCCCATTCTAAAAACCCCAAAATTCTGCTTTTTCACCCTGTGTTAATTCAACCACCATACTATTTAAACCCTTGTGGCTTGTAATTCCTCATACAAAGTTGGCAGTTTTTTCCATGGGCTAAAATCGAAGCCACAGGTGTTTTTGACTTCATGCCAAGGTCTCTGAGCCCCCTGCCAGGGTCTGGAGCCAGCCAGGGCAGCCAGAGGGATGTCCTGGGTTCCCACAAGTCCCCAGCCCTGCCAGCTGCCTGTGGGGTGACTTTTTCTGAGACTGTTGGGTTTTGTGTCTCAGCTTTTAAGTGGTGTCTGTGTTTTTGACCTTTTTCCATAACAGGCTTTGGGATCATCTGGTGCAAAGTGCCAGGAGAGAGCTGGGGTTACTGACAATAAACTCCACACTCAACACTAGGACAGCACATCCTACTCAGCCAGGGAAATAAGAGATTCCCAGAGCATATCTGGCAGATCTTGCTCCCCTTTGGGAGGAGGAGGCACAGGCAGTCTCTGATGTGGCAGAGTTCTTGTGCAGGAGCTCCACTGAAGGTGAGAGCTGCCAGCCCCTCCTCCAGACACCTGGAGGAAACACATCCAAGGGCATGGAACCTTCTGGAGTGGCTCCAGAGCAGGCACCAATGTGACCAGAGGGATGGAGCAGCCCTGCTGGGAGGGAAGCTGAGAGAGCTGGGGCTGTTCAGCCTGGAAAAGAGAAGGCTCTTTTCTAATTCCAGCCTTCCAGTGCCTGAAGGAGCCAACAGGCAAGGACAGAAACTACGGACAAGGACCTGGAGTGACAGGACAAAGGGGAATGGCTCAGACTGAGAGGGAGTAAGTTTGGGTTGAATATTGGGAAGAAATTCTCCCCTGTGAGGGTGGGGAGGCCCTGGCTCAGGGTTCCCAGAGCAGCTGTGGCTGCCCCTGGATCCCTGGCAGTGCCCAAGGCCAGGCTGGATGGGGCTTGGAGCAGCCTGGGACAGTGGAAGGTGTTCCTGTCATGGCAGGGGCTGGGACTGGATGGGCTTTAAGGTCCTTCCAACCCATTGTGTGATGATTCTGTGATGAAATAGGTCCTGTTCCCCAGAAGGTGCCTTCCACCACCACCTCTTTATCTGGACTAGAACTTCCAGGCAGGCTGGATCTCTGGACAAGTTCTGGCTGCAGCAGGCAAAATGGGGCACCCATAGGAGACCACCCACACCACTCCAAGAGCATCCTTAGAGACTGATACCAGGCTCCGTGCCTGGATTTGGAGGGTTTGAATGGTGCACGTGCACAGAGGGAGTCACAAAGCAGAAGAGGAGCTCTGGGTGCCCCTCTGCCCCGCAACACACTTGCTTAAAGTGTCCTGGCCTCTCTCAGTCATCTCCATATCATGCCATCAACAGGTGGCATATATTTGAATAGGGTGACCAGAAAACTGTTATAAACACCCCTCAGAAATATTATTTGAAGTCCTTTCCATAAAAAGAAACTGGAGTTTGATATATGTGCAGAGCACAAAGAATGGGCTCCAGCAGCACATTTTGAAAATCACTGCTTTAGGCAATCTCCTTAGCAGCTTGTTAGATGTTTTATAAGTGTCCTTCCCAGCTCCAAAATAAATAATACCACTAATGATTGTGTCAGATACAAAATAATTTCACAGCCTTTTTTGTCTGCGAGCTTTCCAATTTCAATAAATCACGTGCCCTTCTGTGCAGCTGAAGGAATCCAAATCCCAAGGAGCAGGCAGCTTGGCTGGGAAAGAAAATAAAAATAGGAAGGACACCAGGGCCATTTTTTTCCTGGATTAATTCCAGCACTATTTTGTTCGCCTTAGCAAGCCAGGCCTTGCTGAGCTGCGATTCCTGCTCAGCCTGGAATGAGCACTCCTGGGGTCCCTCAGGAGGGGCTGAGGTTAAACATGGAGAGGGATAATGAGGGAATCTGCACAGCTCTGCAGGCTCCACCAGTCTGCAAAGGGGACTGGTGTCCCTGAGAGGGCTGGGGAACATCCCAGTTCCCAGGGAGGCATGGAGCTGTGCCAGGACAGATCTGCTGCCACATCCCAGGGAAGGGATCTGCAAGAGCTGGGCAGGGCTTTGGGCAGAGAACTGTGGGGACCTGAAAGCTCCCTGCAAATCCCCCAGTGCCCAGGAGATTGGTTTGAAGGGACAGGTGTCTGCTAACAAAGTCAGGAACCTCCCCTGAAATGGAAAATGCAAACCCCCTCCCTCTGAATTATTATAATTTTGAAATTAAGGGGCTCTCAGGCAAAGATATGGGAGTAGGAATAACAGTTCTTTATTAGGGAATAAAATAAAAATAAAATAAAAATGCAGTAATA